TTTAAATTGATAAGTGTTGTATTTCTACTAGATACATTAAATAAGAAAGTGTTGCCCATAAGATTTTAAGTTTGAGATCTATACATTATTGTTTGGTGATTGTTATGTATCAGATACATTTAGTATAAATTTGAATTTACATATCATAACTAAAAATTAGTGTATGCTACATTATTATTTATGTATCTTATTTTGTTTGAGAATACTATATTTAAAATTAAAAAATACATTATACATGTAATTGTTCCAAAATAGCTTCTTTTTTTGTGTGTGCGATAAATAACACAAAGTTTATGTATCAAGTACATTTACATTGAACATGATAAACATTAATCAAAGATTCAACAACATTAGAGTTATGTATCAATACCTTAAGTATGAACATTATACATTGCATAAAACAAAAGGTTATTGTAGCAGTGATGTATCAGATCAATGATAACACTAACAAAGACTAATTTAAGACTCAAAATAAACGTGATACATTAAAAATTTGTATCTTTGATAGTGATGGTCGTGCAATGGCAGATCCAACTTTTTTTCTTCTTTTTTTTTGGACGTTTTTTCAATAGTAGAAACATTAAAAGAAAATAAATATTTTTGAAGAAAAATTTTCAACGACAATATGATTAACTAAAAATTGCAAAGGCTCAATAAGATTTCAATGTGGGCAGGGGGCGGATGTAATTTTATTTTTATTTTTTAAGATGAAAAAATTAGAAAATAATAATAAAAGAAATCAAAATTTGAAGTGATGGAAAGAAATCTACCTCTTGAATAATTTGAAATCATTAATTGGAAATAGAAAGATTTGAAATTCAAAATAGATTAATTGATAAACTTGAGAGACACCTTCTGAAAATCAAAATGAATTTGAAATTTGTAACTGCTAAAGAAGTGGAGAGAATTTAGGGATAAAATGGAGGAGTGAAATGGGGGTGGCAAAACGTGGGTGTAGGTTGAAAATAGGAGTGAAATATTTATGTATCAGAAGATTTTATGAATTGGAGGAATTAAGGGATTTTTGAAATTTTTAAAAAAGATAGGGATAAATGGATATTAAGGTAAGTAAATGTGTGTATATAAGTAATTTCCCTATTTAATTTTACTTTGTGTGTTAGTTACAACATATGTGGTTGTGTGTGTTCTTTTTTTACTGGTGGGGGAGGGGATTGATTTGCAAATTCAAAAGTTATTTAAAGTATTATATTGTCTTAATTCGTTAATAATAATTGTAGTAGGTCCATTATGAGGATTGAGGGAATTTTTGACCAAAATAAGCCATTGTTTAAATCAATTCACCAAAATAGTATGTTTTTAATTTTTTTTTACAAAATTAGTATAAACGTGGTTCACAGTAACATTTTATGCTTTATTTTATTTTAAAAAATTTAATGGGAAAAAAGCAAAAGTTTACGGAGCAAACAGAAATAAAACGTTATTGTCAATAACATTTTATACTTCGTTATCTTGAATCACGTTGTAGAGCTAAAACGTTACTCAAAGTAACATTTTATATTTCGTTACTATAGATCACGTTTCACAGCTAAAGTGAGAGTCACGGGCTCTGCAATTAAAGAATCAAATCTTGCAAATTTTACATTTTATAAAACCTTACTGGCAGTCACATTTTAGATATAAAATGTGACTGCCAGTAACGTTTTATGTAGATTTAATCACGGGCCATCGAATTCTGCAAATTAAGCATCAAATCCTGCTATGTTGGAATCTTACAGATCATAAAATGTTACGGTTGATCACATTTTTACATTAAATTGTGACTATCAATTACGACACTCTGATCTGTTAAAGTCAACTTTTTCATTTTTTAAACTGACCACATATGGTTATAAATAAACCTTGTTGTAACAAATGTTCTACACATTCCAACAATATTCAGTCAAGCTTTTGTTTGTGTAGCCCAATTTTGAAACAATATTCACAAAGGTATGAATTAAATAAGTCAAGTCAATATATCATATTATGTTATTATTTTACCATAGCTTTCAAATTATTTTTCTGATTTATTAATTAAAAAGATGACT